CATTGGCTGTTACGATCGTTAACTATAATTATATCATCTGTATAGAAAACATCATCCCAAGTATAACTTTTTGTCCTTGAGGAGTTTTAAAAATTTGTTTATCATTCTTTTTAATGGTGTTTAGTATTCATGTAATATCTTGTTTTTTGTGTAATGTTATAATATTATTATTATTAATGCTTATCGATTAATTTTATTTTTTCTATTGTTTTCTATAAGACATCGATGATTAAAGATTTAAATTGTAATAATTTTTATTGTTGTTATTGTATCTTATAACTATATAACTGTGTTATTTTTATTTGCACTGAATGCCAGTTTCATCAATATTATTATAACCTTTTTATGACTGTGTAAAAGTTGTTTTGAGTCTTGTGTCCTTAATGAGCTTCTATATGAAGTTGCCATTTAGTTTCCAAGCATCCAAGACTGCGGAAATGACACCATCCACTCCAATAGTGGAGACTAGAAGTTCCAGAGATCCTTCCACTCCAAATCTTGACATTGAAAACTCCAGATGCACAAGGCATCTTCCGCCACAATGGGCAAGATATTAGAAGTTCCAAGATCCATTCACCCCAGAATCCCTATTGAAGTTCCAGTGTGGAACCATTTCAGGGAATTGCGCCTGCCATTGCAATACAAGGAACTGGAGTTCCAGAGATCCTTCCACCCCAAAAACTGATGTTCAAAGCTCCAGATGCCCAAAGGCATCTTCCGCTTCAAAGCAGGGTTTTTGAAGCTCCAGGATCCTTCCACCCCAGACTTGATATTGAAGCTTGAGTGTCAAAGTGCTTAATAACTTGTGAATTGCATTATCTACCACAATACAAGGAACTGAAGTTCCAGAGATCCTTCCACCCCAAAAACTGATGTTCAAAGCTCCAGATGCGCAAAGGCATCTTCCGCTTCAAAGCAGGGTTTTTGAAGCTCCAGGTTCCTTCCACCCCAGACTTGATATTGAAGCTTGAGTGTCAAAGTGCTTAATAACTTGTGAATTGCATCATCTACCACAATACAAGGAACTGGAGTTCCAGAGATCCTTCCACCCCAAAAACTGATGTTCAAAGCTCCAGATGCGCAAAGGCATCTTCCGCTTCAAAGCAGGGTTTTTGAAGCTCCAGGTTCCTTCCACCCCAGACTTGATATTGAAGCTTGAGTGTCAAAGTGCTTAATAACTTGTGAATTGCATCATCTACCACAATACAAGGAACTGGAGTTCCAGAGATCCTTCCACCCCAGAAACGGATCTTCAAAGCTCCAGATGCCCAAAGGCATCTTCCGCTTCAAAGCAGGGTTTTTGAAGCTCCAGGATCCTTCCACCCCAGACTTGATATTGAAGCATTCTAGCCCGTGCTTGAAACTGAATGTTCCAGAAATCCTTTCACTTCAAAATTTGAAATTGAAAGCTCCAGATGCCCGAGGCATCTTCCGCCTCAATTTAAAGATTTGGAAGCTCCAGGACCCTTCTATACCAGTTTTGATATTGAATGTTTTGGCATGCAAGCATATTTGTAGCATATGCAGATCATTGCACCTTCCATCACAATAAAAAGGAACTGGAAGTTCCAGAGATCCTTCCATCTCACATCTTAACATTGAAAATTCCAGTTGCCCAAAACATCTTCCACCACAATGCAAGATGTTGAAGATTCCAGGAACCTTTCACCCCAGGCTTGATATTGTAAGCTTCTTTGTACAAGTGCTGCCTGGCTGGAGCATTTAAAAAAGTATATTTCCTTCACCTTTGACACGATTTTGCAGAATACAGTGAGTGTCTAGCCTGTTCTTTCATTAAAATTTGCTTAGAAAACTTTAAAAATTGCAGTATTCAGGTCCATTTGTATAACAGCCCAGAAGTAGGTTATTACTGTAGCAGAGACACTGGAACAAGGAGATCAAGATATTAAAGGTAGTCTTTCATACACACTTGGCAACTTGTCTGCTACAGTGCCAGCTGGAGGTGGCCTTGTTTAGTTACAAACATAACAGTTTTCAAGCTCATGTCAAGCCTCTCTTCATTCCAAAGGCCATGGCATCAAGTACTTATGTTTAAATTTTTCGATTTACATCTCGCAATTTATTTGCATGCAAAAACCGAAACCAGACAACAACCATTTAACCACTTTATCATTTTGTTTCACAATTTACTTAGAATCTTGAGTAATTTGGGTGTGTATAGAAGTCATAATAACTTGATTTTCTTGTTATTCTTCATACATAATAAGTACCATTACACTGAATTTCTGAAAAAAGGAAACATTGATTGCACCTGCTACAAGATGAAATTTCATCTCAATAAAAAAGAACAAACACCTAGAACCGAAAACCACATACATAGTACCACAGGTAAAGTAACTGCAAAAAAAAAGAAAGACTTGTTTTTGGAGAGTCTGGCATGGCTGGGAGATGAACAGAAGCAAACACATGACCAATTAGCCCTCGAAATGATCATACTAACTACTTTCTCTTTAACTACCTGCCTACTCAATTACCTAGGAAAACCAATCTCTACTTGTCCTCCTTACCAGCTAGACTATATCTCCAGTTAATGCTTTATGTTCAGCAGCTCAACCATGCCAGTGTTATCATTTTGATTGTGTGGACAATGAAAATTATCAGGGGGAAGATCTTTATATATTAATAAATATTAAGCTGGCTATGTGTGTGGCTGTATGTGGTTTCCTGTCTTAGAAATCCTCTAGAATGAAAAATCAAGTTACCTATAGTTTGTAATAATATTGCTTAAAAAGGGAGAGAACTAGAAAACATTTGACATGTGAAACACTTGTTGTCAATACCAAACACAATTAGTGATCCAAAGTTTCCTGTACATGTACATCTATAAAATGCCTTTCACCCTCTGCCAAGAACAGGCTATACACACCATTGTATGTATTCATAGCAACAGAAAAGTAAACTAAATGGCAATTGAAGGCCAGAAGGTATGTTGGAGCATGTAACATAGTTCTTATACTCGATTCTGATAGTTTTGGCATTATTGTTCAAATGTGTAATTAAGTAATTATTTGATACTGAAAGGTCAACTGTAAGGAATGTGATTTTGATTGTCTTTTCTTGTGCGAACAATAATAAAACAAATGTTCAAGTAATTGAAAAAGAAAAGAAAACCGTTGACAGGGGTAAGAGCTAGGTTGGGGCTATAGTTAGGGTAAGGCTAACATTTAAGTGTTTTAAGGGTAAAATAATAGCAGTTAGTACTTAGTGGGGATAATAGGGCTATGATTTATGGTTTAGTAAGGGACAGAGGTGGGTTTAAGGTTAGGGTTAGGTTTGGTAATAGGGCTAGGATTATGGTGGGATAAAGGGGTTTTGCCAAGGGTAGTTTTAGGGTTAAGATTAGAATAAGCCATAGGGTTAGAGTTACAGATAATGTTGGGGTTAGTCTAGGATTGGTTTAAAGTTAAGATTAGAATAATTAGAGGTTAGGGATAGCTGAGGATTGGTTAAGGGTTAAGAATAGAATTAGCAAAATGGTTAAGGTTAGCCTAGGATTGGTTTAGGGTTAAGAGATTAGAATTAGCAAAATGGTTAGGGTTAGCCTAGGATTGGTTTAGGGTTAAGAGATGAGAATTAGAAAAAAGGTTGCGGTTAGCCTAGGATTGGTTTAGGGTTAAGATTAGAATTAGCAGTGAGGTTACTGGGTTAGCCTAGGATTGGTGTAGGGTTAAGATTAGAATTAGCAGTGAGGTTACTGGGTTAGCCTAGGATTGGTTTAGGGTTAAGATTAGAATTAGCAGTGAGGTTACTGGGTTAGCCTAGGATTGGTTTAGGGTTAAGATTAGACTTAGCAGTGAGGTTAGGGTTAGCCTAGGATTGGTTTAGGGTTAAGAGTAGAATTAGCATTAAGGTTAGGCTAGGGTTATGTGGAGGTTAGATGCTAGGGTAGGATCAAAATTAAGGTTAGAATTAGCAGAACAGCGGGAGTTAGGGTAGGGATTATGGTTAGGTTTGTGGTTACAGAAGGTTTAGGGTTCCAGTATTATAGCTAGGTTATGGGTGAGGGTTAGCGATAGGTTTGAGGTTAGGGTTAGAATTAGCAGCAAGATTAGGGTTTATTTTTAGGGGTTAGGGAAACATTGGGTTAGGACTAGACTATAATAGTAAGGTTAAGCCTCCACTTGTAAGTACTATTGTACTTACTTCTTCCCTTTCCATAAGTGTCTGCATTTCACTGGCATCCTGAATAAATGGATGAAAAGGAAAGAAAAAAAAAACACATAATTATCAACATGTCAATAGAAGGTACTAAATGTTTGAGTTATTGCAAGATAAAATACATACAGGTACCGTAGGTAAATAATAATTATGTATAACTATGCTGTATTTATTTGAAATAATGGAACTTTCATTTCAGAGAAGGTGTGGATTGAGATAAAGGGACAGTGAGAGCATAAACATACAGTTGACACGCATATGTGGTATGTTTGTACTTATTATAGTTATAGGGACAATAATATTTATACTAATAACAACAATAACCAGTAATAAAGGCTGAGTATTATTTTTATCACAATTCAGTGAATAAAATATTTACTTATTACTACAGTCCAAATAATTCATTTTAGATATCTACCTTTTTAATAACTTTCAAGACATGTCTCTGTGTCTCTATTTTTTGTTTCACATCTACCATGTTGTTTGTGGCTTGGTGCACAAGAATGAAAAAAAGGGGAATTTTGAAATCCGCTCCCAACCAGTCGTACACTTCCTGAAAAGGAAAATCGATTGCACCAAATGTCAATAATAATGAACATGTGGCTGAAAAGACACTTGTTTTGAGAGTCTCATTTGTTTTCATGTACAGTGGAACCTCGATTTAACGAAGGGCCAAAGAACTGGCAATATGTGTTCGCTATATTGAGGTTTCGTTATATTGAAGTTCTTTTTCATACATCTCACTATGACTAGAGTAAAAAACCCTGAACAACATAATTATTAATTTTTAACAGAAATGGAAAACAGTAATACTGACTTACTTGGTAAAACGCTGTTTTTGGAATTTTTCGTTTCCACATCCCCAGAGGAGTAAGAACCCGTACTTCCACCCCTGCCGGGTCTTCAGGCTGTACCCTGAGGGCCCTTTGCTCTCTTATCCACATCTCCAAACCTGTATTATACTAATAGATAAATTAAGTTGATTGGTAATAAAAAAATTGTTTAATTCTTTCTTTAAGGATTGTCTGAAAATTTATATATTCCTCCAACTTTGGTAAAATTTGCAGCTGCACTCTTGTTGAAAAGTCTGGTACACCATAATGAAACAGATAGAGAATAAACATAACATATTGTCTTTTTTATGCAAAACGAAAGAAACAATTTACAATGAGAAATGCTAACAAAATTTGTGCCAGATCTGAAAATGGGTATGGATCTTAGAGACCAGGTCTGAAAATGGGTATGGAAAATTTCATTTTTTGGTCCAAAATAGGGTCAGGATTTGGAGAAACGGGTGGCACACCCCCACCAAGAATTGAAAGGAGTACACCCCTCTGGGAATCAGAAGGTCAAGTTTGGACTGAAACAGATCAATCCCCATTGCAGTCTATGGTACGTTAATTTGATTGTAGAGCATTAAGGGGGAGGGGGACTTTTTCCCTTGAAAATGAGGGGTTCAGTGGAGAGGGGGAGGTAGGGGGCTTAAGAACATTAGTCATACTCCACTCACTCACCATATCACTTTTGTCATTCTCAGGTGTGGATAAATCAATTACCACTGATTTTGAGATGCAATTGACAGACTGCATTAAAACACAAAAGAAATGGTAATCAGTACTCAAACAATTAACATGGTATACATTTTAACAGCCACACACTGAAGTAAGGGTAGTGAACATATATAATAGCCAAGCATTTAATATTATACACTGAATTAATCAAACTCTTCTCACTCACCATATCCCCTTCATCACTGTCAACCACTGTACCTGTGGTGCATTTGTCAGACTGCATTAAAACATTACAGAAGGAAAAGTTAATTGGTAATCAGTACTCAAACAATTACCAAAGGTGTATATTAATTATGTTAAGAGCCATGACTTTCACAAAGTAATGGTAATGGTACCAAGCCAATAATGAAGACATCTTGACCATTTTAATAAAATAAATGGCTTGTGCATCAATGTGTACTTGGGTTAACATTACTAACTTGAAACAAACACCACTGAATCGTGGTCAATAGGTACTGGCACCGTGCAAAGGACTTATTGATGAAATCAAACAAAACAAACTATGAGAGAACAACTGAACAACTGACAATTTGACTAACAATAGGCAACTGTTGTCTGTGACAGTAGACGGATCGAGATGCACCAATTACATTGGATTACACTGCATGCAAAGAAAGTCGTGTCCGATAGCCCAGGGCTGGTGGATTTTGCTATCGGGCTAGTGATTTTTGTTCTTAACTTGCCCGACGGGTAAGTGCTGTTGTTTGCAAAAATGGGGAAATTCAGGTTACAGAAGGATTGTAAAATCCTGCTAATCAAAAAGGGTTTTGGGGCTAGTTAAACTGACTTGTGGGCTAGTACATGCTAGCTACAGCTTGCCGAAATGGCAGGCTGTAAAACTGACTTTCTTTGCACCCTGATTACACCAATTACATTACTGACGGAGGACCAATAACATCACGACGTAATTGACCGATCAGGTCAATAACCAGAGTATAATACCATCAACTGACGTGATACAACTCACTTTCACTCTGAAGATGAATACCACACAGGTTGTCAAACTGTCAGACACTGTCAACAACAACAGCCCTATTCAGTAACGTTCACTTGGACGATCAAACTCAACCTACTTTTGAAATGACTCCTGGGTTCAAACCTTTCACACCAAAGATATTCTAGCATCATGTACACTTGGTCAACAGTACACCATTTCTGTGGCCAGGGCTATCCCAAAGTTAGAAACCCTGACACATCACTGCTAATGAACTCACTGATTCACACTAATCAAAATTAGTTTGTGCACCTGGTCACCTCTATCATGAGAGAGGTCTATCACTGTAGTAGTAGCAGTTGAGATGCAACTAACAGGCTAAATAAACACAAGCAAGAGTGGTTATAATCAGCATAAAGCCAAAGAAAAAAATATAACTGTCTTGCACTATTGAATAGCAAAATGTCTCCAATCCTAGCAATTAAATGTGTGTTACAGGTCAAATTTGATTTTAGGTTAATTTCGATTTAACTGAGGTTGATTCTCACTTTCATTTCAATGTTTCCTAGCCCTACTTCAAAAATGGTTAGGGGTAGGAGACAAGGGAAATTGATAATCAACCTAAGTTAAATAAAATTAACCTGAAATTAAATTTGACCTGTAACATATATACATATATACATATAATGCAGACTGGGAATACTGAAATAACATATGCGGAAAAATATTATGATACACATTATAGGTAATTGAGTTGTAGCTCATGATGAAGAAAACATATAAGAAAAAGCAGTATTTAAAAGTAGAAGGCCGTCCTGTCAACAGCAACATACTACCCAAAGTAAGTATGGTAAACATTAATCTATTTTATACCTGCTTGAGACCAGCAGACATTTAATGGGAAAGGAAACATGATTAGAAGCACAGAGATCATCTTTGTGGCACGGTTACGTTCAACAGTACAATGAAAAATACAAATCAAATAAGTATAACCCTAACTGATCAAAAGCCTTTTTTGCCCTTTTGGCATGATTCCCATCACCGTATGAGAAATCTGGACAGGGGAAGCTTAGATGAAGTCTGGTACCTTGTGACTGACTGTCTTTTCTGTGAGGTCTGTCTCCTTTGTGGACTGTTTTTCCCTTTATAAATAGTGAAAACAATGAATGGGTAACATTAAACAACCAACAAAAACTCGAAATGCAAAAAAAAAAAAACATAAAACACTCTAAAACACTCCCAAAAACATAATTTCACAAACCTGTCTCTGGCCAGATGCACCAAATCTAGCGTTTCTTTGGCTTTTGTTAAGGCCTCTTTAAGCTCCGTCCACGTAAACCATTCTGAAAAATTTGTTAAAACTTTAATTGGGATACTGACCACAGTTTTAAAGATAAATTGCAAAATATACTTTGATTTATTATAACTAATTATTTTTTACCATTATAAGTTTTAAAGAGTTTTTCCCTACCGGAAAATCGCTCCACCAACATAGGCACAGTTGACCCACGGAGTGAAGGTGCAAGAATAAGGATTTGGGGACATTGGACTCCCTGTCCGCCAACTATTTGTAATGCTATAAGACAAGAAGAGTGCAAATTATTATATCAACACCAAGGAATATCAGGGGAGCTCCCGAGCAAAAAATATGGTGACTCTTCACACATGAAATAATATGTTATCTTCAAGTGTGAAAAGATCACTGTTACTATGCCACTATAAACTATCGTGCCTTTTGCAGCAATCAATTTTTTTAAAATTTTAAGGTGTTTTTATAGGTGGAAATTATAATAATTATTATTAAGATAGCTATTTCAAGCCTGGAGTGCAAAAAACTTTATCCAAAAATGGATGTACAAAGAAGTGGACCTTTCTAATGAATGTTTGGTAGGGTTTAGTCCATTGATGACCAGATTAAAACACGGTGAAAAGGTGTTAAGAATATTTTTATTATTACCTTTCCTTCCTTCTCTCTTGCCTTGATCCGAAATCCAAATCAAAGGATCTGGGTCGTAGAGAAGTTTTTCGGTGATACACACCTCTTTTAGGTCACTATGAATAGATAACAATTATTGCAAACAGATACATAATACCACATCCACAACATCTATTCTCTAGCTACCTACTGATAAACTTCACTTTTGCTTGAATATTAGTCAAAATACAATTTTGCTAATTACCTTTCTTCCCCCACACAAGCCCTCCCTGCTGTTAAGATGATACATTATAATAATTATTATTAGCAAAGAACAGATCATTAAAGCCTCTCGTAGCTAGTATGATGTAATTCATAAAGCTGCAGAGAACATCTCAATAAGAATAGCTGCTGCATGTTTTAACTCTTTTGAAAAACAAATTTTGAGGGGAGTATACCAGTGGTTGTTCCTGCATTCCTTACTTAAGAAACAGAATGAAAAGCATTGTGTCCATAGAAAATTCTAAATTCTTAAACATGTAACTGTATATTTAAATAATTTGCATGTTATTAGATAGTCATGTATGGATATTGTGGCCTTAGTAATGAATACTTTCATTTGATCTTACAGCTCTGTGTCCAAGGTGGCATGAAAGATGGTTTGTAAGAGTTGTGCTTGTTAATGGATTTTACCTCAGCATCTGGCATTCTTCATGAGAGAGGTGTGTGTCACGATTGTTTAAGACAACCACCACTGCAATTCTTGGCCCCTTATAAATGTGTTGGCAAAGCTAAAGACAGAATCATCATTTAATTAAAACAATAATGAATGGAAATTAGGTCATAACTGATGAAGGATTCATCATTCTCATCTTCTCTACAGTTTTTGTCTTTATCAGTATAAACAAGCATAAAAAGAACACCTTCCCAGCATTATTTCCTGAAGAAGCCAGCAAGACATGGAACTAGCAACCGCTGGAAAATCTGCTATAGACGGACTTTTGAAGTGGATTACTTTCTTTCTCAATTTCTCTTCATAAAATGCTCTTACAGTGTGTAAAATTCCTAAACAGGGGAAAGGAATACCAAAGTCTACAAAAAATTACTTTCAAGGACTTTTCCAGGACGTGCACTGTGATTCAAGTGTTTTCAAGAAAAAATACAATTTGAAAACATTTCAAGGTTCAAGGATGCCAAACAAAATTTCAAAACCTTTTCACAGAACCCAACAAAAATTCAAGACTTTTTAACGACCCCCCCCCCTCACCCCAACCCCCCTCCAAAAAAAAAATAATAATAATAATAAAATTTGATAACTTTTCAAAACAGCAGGAACTATGTGATGGTAGGACATCTACGTGTCTGCAGCCAAATGTCCCTTTCTGGGCAATTATCCCCTTATACTATCATGTTCATTTTACAAGCAGCTCTGTTATCTATGGTTGTTGTCGCATAGCGCTGATCTATCGATAATTTTGTAGATTGTTGTTAATGACTTACACTTTTGAAAGAAACTCCAATAAAAGGCAACCCATTTACGTTGGCTTGACCTAACACAACACCCAGGGGCTGTAATAATTGGTCCGAATGGAGCAGTCCTGTAAAAATACAGCAAAGAATCGTAAATACAAGGTAATGGTTAATTATAACTTCCTCAACATCATTATATGCAAATAGCAGAATTCGGCTCCACCAGCAGCCACATTGAACTAGAATATCAGCCATTATAAGATAAGTTCTCTGCTAAGTAAGTCATTCAAAGACAGTTGGCGGCTACCAATTTTTCTGCTATCATGGCCAAGCTATGGCATTCTCAGTAGCTAATGATTAGAAGAATTAATAGCCTGAAAATCACAACGGTGTGCTTCCTTTTTTTCTTAAAGCTGGCCTCTGTCACTCTGGTGTCTGGATATTATAAGCCTTGAGATTCTCCAAATTTTTGGTGGGTTCTGTACGTCTTGTGTAGTTTTAATTGCACAATTTGAGCCGTTTATTTTTATTTTTCATTTAGGTAGCCAAAAGGTGACTATGAAAAGGTAGGATTTGGAACAGTACTTTAAATGAATACCTGGTTCATACAGCCCCCTATCATTTAGGTCTTGAACTATTGTCCCTACTGTGAATGTAAAAAAAAAAAACAACAACAACAACAACCTTAAAACAAAACTGCAAAAATATGCAATATATGTGAAATGTTGAAACAATTAAGAAACCAAGTCTTTGAAAGTAGGGGTTAATTAGAATGGGTCAAGAAGGTTAAAATGTGTTACCTGGAAAAGCTCCTCCCTTATAACTTGGACCAAACTCGCCTGCAAAAAAGGGGAGAATGGCATTTATCTAGTTGGTACACAGACTCTCTCTTTTTTTCTCTGTAGGGATTGTGGAGCATGAGGATAAATTAACTTATAAGCCAAAAGGTCTGCAGGAGGTACTTGCAGTAACAGAAAAGGCAATTTTTTTTTATCATCAGGTAAATGGCTATTATAGGTCAGTGACAACATCATGTTAACAACTTATCATGCTCGCAAGTAGAAGCACTTGCAATCACAGCTTACTGCAGTAACAGTTTCACTTTTCCACACATCGCACTAAATTATACTCCCTGCTCTCATGCAGAAATAGCTCTCTATTGGACAGTATTTAGTCAGTAGTAAACAGACAAACCTTTAATGCACTTGTTTTCTTTCTCTGCAGTGATTGCACTTCCACCTACAACAAAAACATTCCTTCACCACTAAACAAGAACAAAATAATTATGTAAAAAAATTTTTTGTTGCAACTTAAATGTTGAACGCTTTTGAATGTAATAGGGGAATGTTAAGATTGACTGCAATCACTCACTCACTCACTCACTCACTCACTCACTCACTCACTCACTCACTCACTCACTCACTCACTCACTCACTCACTCACTCACTCACTCACTCACTCACTCACTCACTCACTCACTCACTCACTCACTCACTCACTCACTCACTCACTCACTCACTCACTCACTCACTCACTCACTCACTCACTCACTCACTCACTCACTCACTCACTCACTCACTCACTCACTCACTCACTCACTCACTCACTCACTCACTCACTCATTCATGTCCTTTAACTAGAACTCTTGGAACTATTAATAATGTTACTTAACTACAAAATCATTACTTGTCACAGATGTTGTCGTTGCTGTTGCTGTTGCTATTGATGTTACTGTTGCAGTTGATGTCGATGCCAACGCTACTGACGTTGCTGTTGTTGACGGCATATTGTCTGCAAAAAGGTCATGGGATAAAAACACTCGAGTTGAAGAGGTTTTAAATTCTTCTGCAACAGCCTTCCCACTGAGATTCGTTCCAACAGGTGAAAGGGCATGGTTGCCGTGTGGTTTTGCCTTTAAAAACCTTATGGTGCTGAAAAGATGAAAACATTTACATTAATAATTTAGTGTTATTTTACAAGGTTCATTGGT